AGCAATTATTCTTCCAAGCCTAGCCATATGGCTTGGGGCCTAACAGAAGTACTAGATGACTGAGAAAGTAAAACCTACCACTTTGTTATAGGACAAGCAGACATACCATTATTTAGTTTAGGTAAACTTGATTTGTTAGAGAAGAGATATTCTGAAATTTAGGATATCATTAAAAAAGCTAATTCTACTTACTTAAAACTACTTTGACAACTAATAAAGTAGTTTGCCTACTTTTCATTGCAAAGACAGATAAAGTTTAAAAATGAAGGAACATTTACCTGGATTATCTTGAGTGGCTTTATAACTCATTTTTATTTTACTTAAAAATAATCTTCCAAGTTGGACATATTAATTTAGAAATGTCAATTCTGCCTAAAGAAATAACTGGAGGTAGATAATACACATATTTCTAAATTCTGTTTTTTAGGAAGCATAAGCAAAGCTGCTGCTTCTGCTACATCGTTTGCTATCATTTTATAACCACAATAAATTATGGTCAATCAAATTTTTTCTTTGTGACAATTAGCATAAAATCTTCAGCTGTGCATTGTAGAAACAATGGGATTTAAATCTAGATTCAAGAAAACTACTGTTAAACATTATCAAACAGTAAATGTAAAAAGACAGCAAGGTTTTGCTAAGTAACAGTCTCATTTTCCTTAATAGATTTTAATTTAGAAAAACAAAATCTAGGTAAGAATATATTAAAGGCATTACTCACATAAAATACATTGGCATTTGTAGTATTTTTGGCTCAGCTAAAAGAATAACTAATTACAATTTAATGAGCACTTACCATACACAAAGCATTGTACTTAGCGATGTACATACGTACATACTCACATTCAACCCTGACAAGAGCACTATGAGATAGGCGAGTTGCTCCTATTTAGGTGAGGAAACTAAAACAAACTTTCTTGTTAAACCGTAAAAAAATTCTTCATAGGCTACCACCCAATTAAGTAAATCCATATTTTGATTTAAAAAAAGCAAAGTTACTTTTACAAGTGAATGTATTTATTAATAAAATAATAACTGTATCTATGTTCAGGTTAAACTTATTTTTTCTACAGTTTTAATTTGAAACAGAAATAAAATTATTTGTTAACTAGCACACATGTATTGAATGCCCGAAAGGCTGCGATATTGGACCTTGGAGATAAAAAAGAGCAAAGGAATTGAGAAGGTGTGTTACCTCCTTTTTTTTTTTTTTAAACATATTCACTGGCAATAAATATTGGATTTTTCCCAACAATCCTCAAAAAGCTTCTCTTTTGAGTACGTAACATTATCTTTCTGTCACCTTTAGGAGACTGAATCAAACATAAGTCATGTGACTTGCAGGCAGGTCTGTTGCGGACTAGTCATTAAGTCACCGAAACCACTGAGCCAAGAGATGGTTCCAAAGAACCCAAAACACTGAATCAAAAAACCATATACATCCCTATGTTCATTGCAGCATTATTTACAATAACCAAGATATGGAAGCAACCTAAGTGTCCATCAATAGATTAATGGATAAAGAAGAAGTGGTACATATATACAATTATGACCAGCCATAAAAAAGAATGAAATCTTGCCATCTGCAACAACATGGATGAATCTAGAGGGTATTGTGCTGAGTGAAATAAGTCAGAGGAAGACAAAAATACTGTATCACTTCACTTATATGTGGAATCTAAAAAACAAAATAAACAGACAAGCAGAACACAAACAGAATCACAGGTGTAGAGAACATTTTGATAGTTGCCAGACAGGAGGGGTGTTGGGAGGATAGGTGAAAAAGGTGAAGGAATTAAGAAGTGCAAATTGGAAAAAAAGAAGTACAAATTGGTTGTTACAGAATAGTTACAGGGATGTAAAGTACAACATAGGGGATATAGTCAATATTACTGCAATAACTATGTATGCTGTCAGATGGTGACTAGATTTATCGGGGTGACTATTTAGTAAGTTATATAATGTCTAATGATTGGGTTATATATCTGAAACTAATATAATATTGCATGTCAACTATAATTAAAAAATAAAAAGCTGTTTATTAAGTAAAAAAAAAAAGAGCATTTCTATACACCAGCAATAAGGTATTAGAAAAATTTTAAAATTCAATTCACACCTTGACTGGGTAGCTCAGTTGGTTACAGCATGGTCCAATACGCCAAGGTTTCGGGTTTGATCCCCAGTCAGGGCACATACAAGAATCAACCCAATGAGTGCATATACAAGTGGAACAACAAATTGATGTTTCTCTCTCTTTCTCTCCCTCCCTACTCCCCTCCCTCTCTCTCTCTTAAAAACTTCAATTCACAATGGCATCAAAATTGCTGAAATATCCATGAATAAATCTAATAAGTTTCTTTTACAGAGAAAAGCATAGAATGGACATATTGATTTTAAAATGCTGTGGTATTAATGCTGTGGTATTAAGTAAAAAAAAAAAAAAGAGCATTTCTGAGCACTGGAATACTAGAAACTGAGAAAGAAACCCACCTTTATGTGAGATCTTAATATATTACATATCAGTGGGAAAAGGGTGAATATTTTTGTCTGCAAATAACAGAAAACCAACTGCTAAAATGGCTTAAACAATGAGAATAATTATCATTTGACAAAACAAAGTATTTTGAGGTAAGGATCAAAGTCATCATTCAGGGTTCAGTTCTATTCTGTCTTCCTCTGGATATCAGTGAGCTCTCTTCATTAACACAAAATGCTCAAAGTGTCACAGACATATATCAGGAAGCTTTAAGCTTATTTCTTCACCATGTATCTTTCTATAAGAGCAAAAGAAAATCTCTCCTAGAATCACCTTCAGCAAACTTCCCTCTATCTCTCTGGCTAGACTTGCTAAACCAATCATTAAGTGGGGAAATGAGAATACCAGTATAGTCTGAGACCAATCAAGATTTGACTAAATCATGTGGGAAAAGAATAGACATGGAACAAAACTGGTGTTCTGCCAACATAAGAAAGAGAAATATGACTGTTGGCAAGTAATCTACAGTACAATGGAATATTTTATAAACGGTGCGGGGGGAAACAGGCGATCCATATGGAAGAAAAGGAAATTAGATCCAAATAATATCATTATAAAAATAAGTTTGAAGGGGATTAGAAATTCAAATGCCAAAATTAAACATTAATTATTAGTAGAAAATACAGAAAAATATATTTAGAAATTAGGGGTAAAAAAAGATTTATAATATAAAATATAAATAAGCACAAACCATAACGGATAATATTAATTAACTAGACTACATCAAAATTTAAAACTTTTATACAATAAAATATACCAGAATTAAAGCTAAAAGACAAACCATAGTCTAGGAGAAGTATTTGCATGTAAAACAGTTTTTGCTGTTACTCAAAAGAGAAAAATTGGGTAAAGTGTAAGAATGAGCAATTGATAGAAGAGAAAAACTGAATAGCCAATAAATATTATAAAAGATACTCAACTTCACAGTAGTCAGAGAATTGCAAATTTATACAAAGAGATAATGTGTACCCACTAAAAAAATGTTTAAATTTGATAATCCTGAGTGCTGGCCACTATGCTGGGAAATAAACTGTCAATCACAGAAGAACGATCAACTAGTTCAACTTCTTTGGTGACCTACTTGGTGACAGCCAGTAAACTCGACAACATGCATGGTCAACAATATAACAATCCTTTCCAAGGTCCATATCCTAAAGAACTTTTTCACATGTGTATCCAAAGTCCTATTCCAGGATATTCATCACACTCCTTCTAAACACACACACGCGCGCACACACAAATATAAAACAGCCCAACTATACATCAATATGGATTGGAAAAACTGTTGCATATCTATACAAGCAAATAATAGTATGGTACAGTTTAAACAAATAAACTAGATTTATACGTGTCAATTTGGATTATCTTAAAAATAGAATGTAGAAAAAGCAGGTTGTTTAGGGATATTGATAGTGTGACGCCACTTACATAAAAAATAAAACCCAGCGTGGCTGGTGTGGCTCAGCGGTTGAGCATCAACCTAGGATCCGGGAGATCGAGGTTCAGTTCTGGGTCAGGGCACATGCCCAGGTTGTGGGCTCGATCCCCAGTAAGGGGGGCCTGCATGAGGCAGTCGATCAATGACGACTCTCTCATCATTGATGTTTCTATCTCTCTCCCTCTCCCTTCCTCTCTCTGAAATCAATAAAGATATATTTGAAAAATAAATAAATTAATTAATTAATTAAAAAAAAATAAAACCCATAACAATAATATGTATTAGTTATGGAAAAAAAGTTAATGAAAGAAACAAGTAATCTGGCTTGTGATTACTTGTGAGAAAGGAAAAAGGAGAATCAGAGGATCACAGGAAAGGGTATAGTATTGGAGATTCTTCAACTTTATCTCTAGTTTTATTTTTTAATGCAAAAGAATATAAAATAAATATTAAAAACTAGTAAATTACATTGAGCCTACATGGAGAGTAGGTAGGTATTTGTCATATTGTTTTATGTGAGCTGGAAATACTTCACAATTTTTAAAAATACATCTTTTTACAAAAGTTTTTCATGAAAATATTTCATCATGAAAAGATCCTACCCCACATACAAAATTCTTCATAAAACTACAAATGGAGTTTGTCTCCCTTTATCTTTTACTAAGCATCATTTTAAGCCACATACTCCTCCACAGGAAAAGTAGTAGGAATTGAATAAAGATGCCATGAAGATCAAGGAAAGGTCCAACTGGCATAAAATCAAAAAGAGGTTTTCAAAGGTTAGTCAAATTCTCAAAGAATATTCTTTGTATTGAGTGAGAAGCCAAAGATGTCACTGTCAAAGCAAAACAAAAAAAGTATGAAGAAGGTTTCTATTTAAATTTTAATGTGGGGTTACTAGAATATGATATAGGGCATTTGTCAACAATATGATTTATTACTGAGACTACAATAAATATCAATGTTTTTCTCTGGAAGTGAAAATTTTAATTATTCATATCCCAAGAAGCTCCCATAGCAACATACCTGGAGAAGGAGCCTTTCAAAAGCCAGAAAGTTGTCCCACTTGGCAGTCTGCGGGTGTTTCAGAGTTTGAACAGTGGCCAGCCCAAGCTGCAGGAGTCCACAGTGATTCACTAGAGCTTTGAGGTTGTTCTTGAAGAGCTGAATATAGGATGTGAGTTGTGCCGGAGTGACTCTCCCTGGAGAAACATAATAATTTATCAGTGAACCCTCTTCTGGGACTGGTAAAAATAACGAGAAGAGTGCCATTAATAATAGTAACTGCCTTATATTGGCACAGAACTTCAGAGTTGACTACAAGCTTTGCTAAGCTATTGTGATTCTTACAACAACATGGTGACAACAGTGAAATTGAAATTATTACCTGCATTTTGCAAGTGAGGAAACAGATGTTAAGTGATCTGGGTTGCTAGTAGAATTTATTTTCTCATTCTGCAGTACCCCGTAAATACATTCTCAAAGTCACACAAGTTAATTGCTGAGCTCAACATGGAGCACATCTCCAAGACATATGATTTAGCAATCTAAGAGGCCAAAAGGCAAAATTTCTAATTATGTATGTACATATATAAAATAAAAGGAGAAATCTGTTATGACTATGGCTAAAACTTTATCACTGGTATCAGTGGGTTCATGACAATAAAACAGTAAAAGCTAGCTGTTACACAAAACAAAAATGTATAGAAAACCAGAGTAGCAAAAACACCAGAAGATATCGTTAAGAGTTTGGTGATCATTTACTACAATGATCACCTAGATTTGGAACATGAAAACCCACATCATAAAACACTAGAGTTTGTACAAAAACAAACACAAACAAACAAAACACCTGTTAAAGATTCACTCCTTCAAAGCCTCTAAGTTCCACTTTTGCCTATAGCAGTCCTTCGACCAAGTCACTTTCCACTCTCCAATCCATCAAATTCAATTCCTGCCGTTTATCATTGCTATCTGCAAAACTCCTGAACACCACATATTCTCCACACTGGGCAAGAAGGCAGTGGGGCCAAACATAGATGCAAGTGAAGTGAATCTTTCCTACACATCTTACCATGCCATTTGTGTGTTGCCGTCCGATGCCTGAAATCCAAGTTTGTTTGTTTTATTGAGATTTGTTAATACCTAGCAATGAAGCCACCTGTCTTGATTTAGCACTTCACAGTTTATACAATGCAACCATGCCCTCTTCTCATTCTCACAGCAACTCTATGAGGTAGCAAACAAGCCATGTGCTGTATTGCTTAGCTCACCTGAGGCACTGTGAATTTGGTGTCTTAGTGCTAAATGGGGGGTATCACTTAATAAATGGTTTTTGCTACTCATAATACACAAAAAATAAAGATCTTAATAGAAGAAACTTATAAGCCTTAGACATATACTTTCTTTTTCATTACATTTTTTAAGAGATTAAGAATTTTTTGTTTTGTTTTTTGTTAATCCGTACCCAAGGATATTTTTTCCATTGATTTTTATAGAGAGTGGAAGGGAAAGAGGGAGGGAGGAAAGAGAAAGAGAGAAAGAGAGGGAAAGAAACAACATCAACGTGAAAAAGACACATCGATTGGTTGCCTCCTGCACACACCCAGACTGGGACCAAGGATTGAACCAGGTATGTGCCCTTGACCAGGAATCGAACCTGCAACCCTTTGGTGCGAGGGCCAATGCTCTAACCACTTAACCACACTGGCGACGGCAAGAAATTAAGAATTTTGAAACTCCTTCTCACCAGTTTATCTGGGTAAGTATCTAAAGAATAACAATAGTAGGAATGATAAGTAGGGAGTTGAGTCCCACTAGTTTCTTTGGTCCCTTGGTAGAGCATAAGTTCATTCCTGATTCTCAAAGCAGCAAGTTAACAATTTGCTTGCTTAATTACTAACAGAAGAGCCTCATGACTCTGGTTTTCAGTCAGGTTTATTAAGGTATAATTTTCACAGAAAATGGGTTCAAATTTAAGATCACAGTGAGCTCCATTTATTTGTTTATACACTGTACTGCAGGTGATGGCAGTGTGGTTCCTGGACACAGAATTTTGCCTATCAAGAGATTCAGAAAATAAATATAAGTACTTAATCAATATTGTGATAAGTACTGCTAAGGGAAAATACAAAATGTCTTGAAAGTGTATGATATGAAACTGCCTACCTCTCCAACACTATCTCAACTAATGGTGGAGGAATTAGGTTCAAAACACATACGATCTATCCATAAATAACTGTCTTTTAGAGAGACTGCAAGAAATAGAAATCATCAGAGAGTCATGAAAGGGTCTGTTTAGATTTCTGTTGTAATAATCATATGCTCAGTTTAAAGATGAGTGTTTTTGATTCAAAAATATAGTTGAACTTTTTATCCAATTAGCAATTCCTAGCTCAGACGCAGACCCAGTAACCATATTTACATAATGCTACCTTCCCACATAAAGTATGTGAACCAAAGGAACAAATGGGTATATTTCATAAAGGAAATGCCAACGGAACACTACATTGTGAATTTAGCAATTATTCGCCCTTACTGCTCTATTCTGTTCCCCTCTGTATACCCTTTTCTTACACACACAAGCCACTAACACTTCATAAGATATGTTATGAAAGCAGAATTTTTAAAAAATCCATAACATGCTAATTGGAATATAGTAAAAGAGTACTGTACACAAATATTTTAAAATACAGGCTAGTAAAATATAGGCTAGTAACGTTTTCAAAAATTTAAACTTAATCACAACCTTACACAAAACAAGTCAAAATCAACGCACTACCAAAAATGCTATAGCGAGATTAAAGACTTGAGAAAGCTTCTTAGTTTGTGTCAACTAAAACAGCAAGCAACTAGAACCAGGTGTTGAAAAAGCCATAGAAAGAACATTTATTCCTATCTCACATTACCAAAAAGGCCCAAAACACTTGTCAGGCAGATTTACATGGTGATTTTAAAATGTCAACCCAGAAGGCTTTGCATAACATTTTTTAAAGCCATAAAACAAGGGTTATTTCATATCAAGATTGTAAAACATACAGCAACTTTTTGAAAAATGACAATTTGAAATTTGAAAAATGGTCTTCAAGTAAAAAAGCTACTAAGCTTTCTTTTTCTTTTTAATAGAGTTTCTAAGAAAGAGAAACAGGCTTCTGATTTCAACTTAGCTAGGAGAAAAACATGAAACTTTCTCAACCATCAATTCTCTATTTCAAAACTCTTATTAAAATATAATTATCTCTTGGGGAAAAGGGGACAGACTTGGAAAACAAGATGATTTAATATTTTAATAAAGTCTGTGATCCTTTAAAAATTTAATTTAATTGAATTCAAATGCATAATGGAACTATTTTTCTATTTACTATATACACTCAATAAATTATAACTCTCTCAACTTATTTTGTGACTTGTTAAAATATATTTAAAATATCTACACATAGATGGTTCTTTGTTGACATTCTTAAAGAGTATCCAGTGCCAGGTTTGATTTAATTGTAAAACTTCAATAGAAAGCAACTAACACCAGAAATTTTGTCTAAAATAGCATATTTAGTTGTTATTTTTTTAAAAAAAACTCTTGATGTAAGAAATAATACTGTAATTGCATGTTTATTCATTTTCCTAAAAACATGATTGAAAACCCAGTGTGTGAAATCTGAATAAACAAACTTATGTATTTTAAGACTTGCATTCCCAGAAATCAGCATTTCATTACAATCCTTTTCAATCATTTTTCTAATATAATAATGGCAAAGTACATTAAAATATTTAAATAGAATATGTTCTGGCATTTATATTTTGTTCTATAAGTATATATGTTTCTTTATAGTTTGATTTGAAAGTTCAAAATCAATCAGTAATGTTTGCGTCATTATGAAATATATAATAATGTGCTATGATTACATTTCCTCATGTATATAATACTCTTTGCTCCTAGAATGTTCAATGGATTTCTTAGGGCGGGAGGGCATATTATCTGCCTTAATCAAACATTTAAAGTATTCTTATCTCAAATATACTCTCTTATCTTTGGAGTCTGTATTTTTGTTTGTTTTCTTCCTGAATATTTTACTACCAAACCCCTTCATTCTCCGGGTCAATCCTGGGTGGATGGTTCTCCAGGCCTTTCTTCTACACAGCCAACACCCTAGAATTCCCTTTATTGCTCTCTTCTGTTGGAACACTGTTTCATTAAATCCCTGACTTTTCTTTCTTGGTGTACTTGTTTTGCTGGATATGTTCAAGTAACTTTCTCAGAAAAGGTGTGTAGAAAGCAAAGTTCTTTTATGTCTGAAAAGGCTTTTTCTTGCCCCCATAGTTTATCTGGGTTTGGAATTCTTGGTTATAGTAATACCTTGCTTCTGGTTTTCAGGTTGCTGATGAAGAACGTGTGCTATTCTCATGCTTGTTCGTGTGTCGGTGAGCTTCCTTTTTCCATCTTGGGGCCCTTAGGATCTTCTCATTTTCTTGTACTCAAGATTCACAGTGATTATGTCTAGTGTCGAGGGTTTTTATTTCCTGTTTTTTAGAGGCTTTTAAATTCTACTTGTTTTTCAGTAAGCCTATTTAATTTAACTATGTATTTCTTCACATCTGGGTAAGTCCCACATTCTTCTTTTGCTAATTTCCTATTCTTTGCTTCCTATCTTTTATCTTTTCTACCTTTTCAATGTCTTGTTCTTTCTACTTTTTAGTTGATTTCTTGATTTATCTTTAAACTTTGGCTGAATATTACTTTCACAATAATATCTTTATTTCCAAGAGCTCTTTTAAAATAACAGCTTTACTGAGATATAACACAAAAACCATAAAATTCACCCTTAATGTACAATTCAGTGTTTTTTAGTATATTCAGAGTTGTGCAATCATCACCCACTATATAATCTGAGAACATTTTCCTCACCCAAGACAAATCCACACCTAAATTTCCTCAGTTATAAGAAAGATATACAGCTATAAAGCCATACATATGAGAATATAACCTGAGTGAAATTTTCCGTTGGGAGACATAACTGTACTTAGCTATACTAGGAAACTGAGAAACAACAGAAGTGAGAACATTCAAGTAATTATAGCTACAACTGAACTCTGACTTTTTAAATATAATAGTGATATCACATCATCATTTTTATAAGACTTAAAAATCTTTTAACCTAAGTTTAAGTCCCTGGGAGGTAAAAGAGGAATGCAAGAGTACTCCATG